ACTATAGGTGCTCTAGAGCAGTAGGTCCATAAAAAATTTTCTTAAAGGGCCAGACAGTCAATATTTTAGGCTTTTGGACCATGTGGTCTCAACCCAACTCTGCTGTTGTAGCAGGAAAGCAACCATGCACAATAAGTCAATAAAACTTTACTTATAAAACAGGCAGCGGGACTGTAGGCCATAGTTTGCCAGCCTCTGCTCTAGAGAAACCAATTTTAATGGTATTAAGCAATGATTAGAAAGGAGTGATAATAGATGCTGGGGGTTTTCTCAACTTAATTATGTAAAGCTATATCAAGGAAATCCCTAATTAGAAAAAGGTATGTGTAAAATACCCTTTTATCTTTCCCTGTAAGTTTTTGCTAAGAGAAGAGAAATTAAATATTTGGAAGATTGATGGGACTTTTTCCCTTAATAAACATAATAGAATGAAGACTGAGCCCCAACCAGATAAGAGAAAATAGGAGGAAATTGTTCTTAGGGTCTTTTTTAAAAATATATTTTTTATTGATTTCAGAGAGGAAGGGAGAGGGCGAGATAGAACATCAATGATAAGAATCTCTGACCAGCTGCCTCCCCACACTCCCCCCACACTGGGGACTGAGCCCAAAACCCAGGCATGTGCCCTTGACTGGAATCGAACCTGGGACCCTTCAGTCCGCAGGCCTACACTCTATCCACTGAGCCAAACCAGCTAGGGTTTTACCAAATTGCTAAAACTTTTAGCACTAGTGCCAAAACTGATATTTTAAAACATGCAAAGCAAGCTTAAGAATGGAAGGAAGATAATCTCCCGTTAACACCTGGAAATAAAACAAGGAATTAAAATGTAGTTGATAATTATTGTAGAAATTAAAAAAGGGAACCAAGCTGTAAGTATATTTCATAACATTTTGCTCTAAGTATATCACATTTTCTTTGTGATCCTTAGAAGTTAGTAATTGTTCATATCTATGAATTTACTAAACATACTGTTATGAAAAAACAAACTCATAACATGCTGTTAGAAGAAAGCCTGACTAGATCTTAGCATTATAAGTCAGAAGTCAATATTTTTAGTAGCAACTCCTCAAACTGTAGACTTACCATGCATTCATGTATTGATGTCTAAACCTGTAGATAACTTTTGTGAGTTTATTTGAGCCAATTTGATGACAATTTCCAGGAATCAAAATCTTAAAAGATTGAGAAAATGCTCCAAAGAATGCAGTTTTGCAGCTTATTTTATACATTAAAATACAAGGACAAGAAGTAAGAGGGTTACATGAAATCCATTGGTGGCAGATTAAGGAAGCAGGAGAAAGTAAAAGGGGGGGGAACCTTTGGGATTGGATAAAAAGCAAAACAGGAGACACATACTTCCTTCACATGGATGGGTAGAGAAGAGTTAATAATTAACATTTACAGCATATAGAGCTGGTATGAGGAAAACAAGATTAGCAATGAGAGGTTCTGTGGTCTGAACTCTGATGCAATGGCTATGCCCTGAAGGGTTTGGAAAAAGAGATTTCTCTGACATTTCAAAAATATGTTATCTTAGATGCAAAAAGGCAATAAACAGGCTCACTTAAGTAAAGATTGACCTTTGTTAAGGAAGTTGCATGCCTAGGACGTGCCTAACCACCATTTTTATGTTCATACCAACCTAGGAGGTTACTTTCCATCTCTGAGTTCGTAAGGCCCATCATGCAGGCCTCCTGTGAGCTTGTCAGGTTTAGCATGTGGCTCCTTTTTCATTTACATGAGCAACCTCAGACCTATTATAGTCATAGCTAATATTTACTGAATACCTACTAAACACCAGGCACTTAATTATTTCACTTAATCCTCCTAGTTACCCTATGAGGTCCGTATTAGTATTATCCCAATATTAGGGATGAGAAAACAAGTGAACAAACACTACTACAAAACACAAGAGCAACAATCATTCATTACTATCCAGTGCAACAGCATTGATGGGGGAAGGGGAAGGGGCACTGAAATCAACACATAAGGAAAAAGCTAATCACAGACAAACTACTCTAAATATTCTTAAAACTTTTCATAAAGTAGAGTTCTATAGACATAGCTTTGTAAGGAAACACTACATTCCCATCTCCCTTCTCATGCTCCAGAATACATCCTCATTTTGGGGAAGGGCTCAGCTTTACCTTCAAATTTTAAATTATCTTTCTTTCTCTCCTTTCCCCTCCCTCTCATTGTGTATAGTTGAATATATATTACTTAAAAATACTTCTGATGTTACTGTAATGCAAACCTAGGATAAGACAGGAACGTTAAGACAACCTAAAATAAAGACCACTCACAAATCCTCTTCTATAAGCACAACACAGGTATAAGTAACTCAGAGATATTTCGGCATGATATGTACACATTTTCCTAAGCAAGCCATCTCACCCTGCCCTGTGAGTGGTGGACATGATTCAAATATCAGAACCTCTGTCACAAGTGGAGCAAACTTCTCTTTTTTCCTAGTTGTCTAACGTCAGTACAGGAGATTACAGATGACAGATCTTGGCTAGCTGAGATCAAGAAATATGGGAGATGTGAGCACTGCTCAGAAAAAGAAAAGAAAAGCAACAAAAGGCCAGGAAAGGAAAATTAAGAGTGCTCTGCCAGGGAACTGGTTTCAGAGAAAGAAGTCAAAGAATGAAGGTGGAATGAGGAAAGCTATCTGCAAAAGCCTGCATGTCCCCAGTTCTTGCTATCAATATAATAAGTCAAATTCAGGTAAGAGCTTGTTCACAAACAGAATCATCATAAGGTTATTTAAAAAAAAAAAAGAGGAAAAAAGGAAAAAAGGAGAGAATCAAGCAGAGCCAGAGTAGGGTAAGATGAATAACATACTCCCCATTGGGCACCAAATTTAATAGGTGCCCCAAACAAAACAAAACAAAACAAAAATCCCTCAGTGATCAAGAAAAATAACACTTTAAAACAGTGGTTTAAAAATAGCAAACAAAAAAACTATAACCAGCCACCTGCTTTGCAACTAAAGTTTCATTGGAATCAGGGTGAGGTTTAGGGTGAAGTGACTAAGGCAGGGAAGAGTGCAGGACAGAATTCTGCCTTTATTTGAAATCCTGACTTTTCATCCTAGGTTACTTTGCACTCGTTTTTAATTTTTTTTTTTTTAAATATTACATTAAGACATTCTCTTGATTACTGAGTGTTTTGGCTCTCCTTAAGTTTTGTGTCTCACTTCCTGTACCCTAGTCCTGGGCTGAAAGAGAAGAGAGGAGGCAAGCGGAGATCGTCAGTGGTTTAAAGACTTATGTCAAACCCTAAAGCAGAAAAGTTGGAGATTCCATTTTCTCCTGCTCCGTGCATTCTGTGCCCTGGGCGCCCTCACACCAGTGAAGGCCGTCCTTTCATTGAGCTCCTTCCCTTGCCTTGGCAGCTGCACTCACTTTTATATGCAGGTTCTGGAATGCAGGGAGCTGTATGGCAGCCAACATCTCTCCTCTCCCCTTCTCAAACATGACGTTCTCTGTAATTCAGCTTCAGACACCTCTTTCCTTAGCCTTTTCACCCAGGGAGCCCGATCAAGGAACCTAAGAACTGTAAGCCTCATTTGCCTTCTTTGGGTATGCAAGTGAATTTGCATATATCTTGTGTCCATTTGCATTCCCCTCACATGGGGTATTTAGAATAAAAACAACATTCATGAATCAAAATGAAGCCTGTCCCATTCTGTTTCTGTCAAAGTATGGTGTGAGTAAAAGGATACCGCAGTGTGAGAAAAAGAGCTGAAATTATATTGGCCAGGGTTATGTGTCCTTTTAAAGGCAAGCCAATTTAGTGGCGTTTACCACCACAAAAATTGGCATTTAATATTTATAGGTTTAGCCTTGCAGAACATAATCACTCATGACTGAAATAGCCACCCCCTTCCTCTACGATTCCTGCAGGAATCTGAGCCAAGAGCCCCTGAAAGCTGAAAATGGCCCTTTTCCTCCTCCAAGCCACCACTTACAGGGGGGAAGTCTGATGGTTCCGGGTAACGGATCTCTCCATTTGACATGAAATGAATGAGTGGAAGAACCTATTAAAAGGGAGGAGAGGAAGGAGTGTTCTCCTCATCCTCCCTCAGCCCCTTTGGGAGTGAAAGAACTAAGAAAGGAAAGAAGTAGTCTGGTCTGAACCCTGCACAGAATTTCATCTAAAGAAACAAATAGTGGAGAGTAGGTTGGCCCCAAATGAGATGCAACCAAAATGATGGAAATGCTGTGAGTAGCAAGGGCAAGTTCATTATGGAGTTGCTTTAAAGAGAACAGGTAAGTAAGACTATGTCAGCATAACTCCAGCACTAGAACCAGAGGGCGTGAGCCTTACCATCTGTGTGACAAGTAGATAGCTCAGTGAAGAAAGATGACTCAGTCCTTCACAGCCTGAAAAAAACACCTTTAGCCGAAACCGGTTTGGCTCAGTGCATAGAGCGTCGGCCTGAGGACTGAAAGGTCCCGGGTTCGATTCCGGTCAAGGGCATGTACCTTGGTTGCAGGCACATCCCCAGTAGGGGGTGTGCAAGAGGCAGCTGATCGATGATTCTCTCTCATTGATGTTTCTAACTCTCTGTCCCTCTCTTCCTCTCTGTAAAAAATCAATAAAATATATATTTTTAAAAATACCTTTAGTGCATTTAACCTCCTTGAATTTGGGTTAGCACTTCTTAACCTCAGAAACAATTCCCTTCAGAACTAGTTGAGGTTCCAATTCGGCCTGCGTCCTTGTAGTCTTTCATAATCTAATCTTGCAAGTGCCATACCACTACGTCTGCCATGTTCTGTTGGTCATGCAGACCAATCCTCATACAATGAGGACTATAAAAGTGTGTAAATACCAGAAGTCAGGAATCATTGAGGGCCTTCATGGTGCCTGCCTACTATGGTGAGAATGTTGTCATGTTGGAATCCATGTGAGAAGTAAAGGCTTAACTTCTAAGTTTGTCCCATTTTATAGATTGCCACTTACAAACAACAACAAAAAAACTCACTTACTCTGCATGATAGGAAGAAAAAGCTCCCACTTGGAGGGAGCTATGCAGGCGTCAGTGTCCCTTCAGCAGCTCCTTGATCAACATAGTGGTGAATATCTGGAATGAGGAAATGAGGGTTAGCGCCTGGCTTGAAAAGAGAACAGAGAAAGAAACCAAACACTGATAGCAGCTTTACTAAATGCAGTTTTAGCGATGTAAGTAAAGTTGAAAAGCACTTAACTGGAATAAATGTATTCACCCTCAATTCCAGCAATAGCTATAGACCACAGAGAAGCAAGTAAACTGCAGCTTTCTTATGGTTTGGTCATAAAATAGTCACTCAGTCATTCTGTCAGTCAACATATATTGATGATAAAGACAGGACTTTTACACTCAATTCATATTTTCTGAGTTTCCCTTTAGGATATGACACTATATACTTAGCAACATAATAAGGAAACGTAAAGCAAATACACAGTCCCTTCCTTCAAAAACCTTTCATTCAAAATCAAGAACAACTCGATAAATGGCACACATGTTTGTTTTTAAAGACAATAAACACAAGGTGCTACAAAAGTTTTTCTTTTAAAATATACATATATTGCCATTTGTCTTGGATTCTCTTTTTCCATTTCCATGTGTTTTCAGTTATTGATGAAAACCATTATATAGAAGATGGCTTTTTCAATTAAAAAAAATAACATGTTTTAGGGCACAATGTAGCTATACCATCTGTTTGGGATTATTTTCCAGATAGTATAACCATGTTGAATCTCTTTGGTACAATTAAATGCAAGAAATTATATAAAACTAGCTTTTTCTAAGCTCGATTCAGTAGAAATTTTCTAGATCAACAGATTAAAGGAATCTATTATTTAAAACTAGAGGCCTGGTGCACCATTGGGTCCCTCAGCCTGCCAGGTTCAGTCCCATCCATGCAGGCCAGGCTAACGGACCCCACCGATGCACAAATTCGTGCACTGGGCCTCTAGTATGCATATAAGATCTTTGGTTAATCTCTTCCTGTCCTTCCCCTTTCCCCCTTCCCTCGAGATTCATCAATCTGTTCCATGTTTCTATGCCTATGCATTGAGCATCTGGCCCCTGGTGGTCATTGAATGTCATAGCTACTGGTTGAATGGTTGGACAGTTGCTTAGGCTTTTGTATATAGACTAGCGGCCTGATGCATGAAATTTGTGCAAAAATAGGCCTTCCTTTCCCTGGCTGCCAGCACCGGCTCCCTCTGGCACCTGGGATCCGGGCTTCCCTCGCAGCCCTGGTTTCATCTGGAAGGTCATCTGGAAGGATGTCCAGAAGGACATCTGGTCTAATTAGCATATTATGCTTTTATTATTATAAATAGTTTTACAGATAGATATTAACTCAAGACCAGATTGATTTGTGATGGGTCAATAAGAAACAATATAATTTAACACATTTCTATTTCTATAAAGTAATAACAAGAAATTTTAGACTGTGTATAATTTGGTATTTATATAAGACCAACTTAAAAGTAACATTCAAACAACCTAGTTAGCAGCCTCGGCCCCATCTCAGCTTTTATATCTTTAGCAGAAACTATCACACAAATAAATGGCTTTCTCTCAACAGAATCCCAAGCACAATAATGTCAGATCAAGCTGTAAACTCCTTTTTTTTTTTTTTTTTAAAGAATGGGCATATTTATTTAGTTTTTATTTTTTGTTAATCCTCAGTTGAGGATATTGTTTCCCATTGATTTTGAGAGACAGAGAGTGGAAAGGAGGGGGAGAGAGAGAGAAACATCAATGTGAGACACATCAACTGGTTGCCTTCCACACATGCCCCGACCAGGCCCAGGGATCAAGCCTGCAACTGAGGTACATGCCCTTGACTGGAACCAAATCCATGACTCTTCAGTCTGTGGGCCAAGGCTCTACCCACTGAGTAAAGCTGCCAGGTTTATTTTTTATCCTCACCTGAGGATATTTTTCCTTTGACTTTTAGAGACAGAAGGAGGGAAGGGGGCAGGGGACAGAGAGACAGAAATAGAGAAACTCAGTGATTGGTTGCCTCCCGCATGTGCCCAACCAGGCTGGGAATCCTGCAACCCAAGTTTGTGTTCTTGACCGGGAATCCAACCCAAGACCCTTTGGTCTGCAGGCCAACATTCTAACACTGAGAAAGCTGGCCAAGGCAGGCTACAAACTCTTAATATCAAAAGGAAGAGGAAATTTCAAAAAGCTTCAGGTAAGAATGATTTTCATTCTATATAAAAGAAATAGGAATATACCATTTTACCCCCCGCCCCCAGTAGACGGGCAAAAATTATGTGTAAAATACCAAATATTGAAGAATATGTAGGATTCTTAGAAATTGTGGGAGAGTGAGAAACGATTTGGCATTCATTATCTCACAGTTAAATAATCACAAACTCCACAAACCAGCACCCCTACTTCTAGGTATATAACCAAAAGAAACACTTATATATGTGACCAGGAGGCATGCATAAATTGTTTATAAGTTTTTGTAAGGCTAGAAACAACCCAACTATGTACCAGCAGGAGAATAAAATGTAGTATATTCACACAATCGACTATTATGTATTGAAAATAAACAATCAGCCCAGCCTATGTGGCTAAGTGGTTTTACATCAACCTATGATTCCAGGTGAAGGCACATGCCTGGGTTTCACAACCCAGTGGGCGGGAGGGGGCAGGAGGCAGCTGGTCATTGATTCTCTCTCATCATTGATGTTTCTATCTCTCTCCTTCTCTGAAATCAATAAAAATATACTGGGGAAATAAACAACCATTCTATACAACCACATGAATTAATTTTACAAACATAATGCTAATAGGGTAAATCCCAAAAAACTATATATTGGATGATAGCATTTTTATAAAGCTCAAAGACACACAAATTAAACAACATATTGTGTTAGCATGTATACATTTGCCATAAACCTAAATTTAAAAAAAGAAAACATCAATGGAATGAGAAGCACAAAATGTAGAATTTGTGTAAGTTCTGAAGGCAGGGGAAGAGATAGAGGAGAAACATAAAGGTAGGTGCAAGTTACTGAGAAATGTTCTAACACTCAAGTTGGGTGTATTTCATTATATTATTAATCTTATGTGTTACATATATCTTTTGTATATATTAAAAATAAAACTTTAGAAATATTGACATAATTCATTCTCCCTTCTTCCAAGTGAGAGAATTGCTTTTTATTCTGCATGTAAAGAAACTGAGGGTGGTATGGCTCTATCTTGGAACAGAGTTCTGCAAAATAGAACCCCTCTCAAAGCTGATAGATTTTAAAGAGAATAATCAGTTTATCTGAAATCAAGAGAATATAAGTAAAATTAAATTCAGGTGAATTAAATGGGATTTTTTGCTAACATATGAATGGAGTATGTGGTAAACTGAACCTCTTACCTGCCAAAAAAGTATGATGATACAGGATGGGATCTCAGCATCACCAACTGAAGTTAAAATGTCCAGAGATAAATGGGGAAAGAGAATTTTCAGGAAAACTGGAAGCTCAGATTAGAATAACCAGCATAAAATGAGCAAAAAATACAAAAGCTAAATGAATGAATTCATTTATTAAACGAACCTTTCTTTAGTATAGACTTGCAGCAGGGAGGTAGAAAGAGACTAGAGTAATAGAGAAAATTGAGACAGTCCCTGTCTTCAAGGAACTCATACCCTAGTAATCACAAAACAAAAAAAGCTTTCAATGTGTAAATGGAAAACTTACTATACAGAACCAGGAAAAAAAGTGTTCAGACAGAGAAAGAGAGTAAAATGGTCCAACATTTAAAAAATAAAAAAATACTTGGAAGTTTTCAAAGCAAGGCAGTTGATGAATCTAATAAGAGGACAGTTTTAATATTAGGCCAAAGCTTCTGAGCCTGAAATCTGGAGAGAGAGAGAGAGAGAGAGAGAGAGAGAGAGAGAGAGAGAGAGAGAGAGAGAGAGAGAGAGAGAGAGGCTGAGAAAAGCAAGAAAAGTTAGTGCCCCGCATGTGGGAATTCACATTTATGGAGTGCTTACTATGTGTCAGATCCTCTTCTAAATGATTTTTATGAATTAACTAGTTTAATACTCATAATATACCTATGTAAAAGTTGGTATTATTATCCTCATTGGATAAATCAGGAAACTAGGGCCTGTAGAGGTTAAGTAATTTGCCCAAAGCCACATAGTTAGAAATTTAAAAGCAGAGTTTTGAACATTGGAGATTGGGTTACCTGGCCCAATTCTTGACTACCAAGAGGGATTTCTTTCTTTCTTTTTTTCATGGGGGAAAAGCACTTTAAGGTGTGAATTAATCCTTTTTAAAAAAATGTTTTTTATTGACTTTTAGAGAGAGAAGAAGGGAGAGGGATAGAGAGATAGAGAAACTTTCATGAGAGAGACACATCAGTGATCCATTGGCTGCCTCCTGCATGCCCTCCCCCCAACCCCAATGGGGATCCCGGGCATGTGCCCTGACTGAGAATCTAACCAGTAACCTCTTGGTTCATGGGTTGAAGCTCAACCACTGAGCCATACTGGCCAGACAAGGGGGATTTTTTTAAATAAAAGTTGGAAAAAACAGAAGAACTAGAAAAAGTTGTTCACATAATTTCATTAAAGTTTATTTATATACAAGTGAGGTGAATTATAAATATTAAATTTTTATCCCCAATATTACACCTTGGTAAATATTTTTTTAAATGTTATTTTAGAGAGACTGAGAGGAAGGAACAGGGATAGAGAAATATCAATGAGAGAGAAGCATCCTTTGCCTGCTGCACGCCCCCTACTGGGAATGGAGCTCAAAACCCTGGGCATGTGCCCTGAGCAGGAATCAAAATGGCAACTTCTTGGTACATGGGATGATGCTTCAGCCAACTGAGCCAGGTCAGAACTTGGTAAATATTATTGGTGTGCCTCAAAATTTTGTACTGGACAATATGAATATAGAATATGACAGAGAACCTAGTGGAGAAAAGCTGAGACTCCAGGGTCATGATCTTAGGGGGAAAAATCTCATCTTTTTTTTTATCCCTCAGGATATGGAGATAGAAAATTCCTCAAGGTAAGTCTTGACAAAGCCCTCAGTTTCTCACATAATAGACTGATATACTTTGTAGCCAATCTCAGTGCATTATGTATTTATTCAGTCTCTTTTTTTTTATTTCTTTCTCAGCAATCTAATAACTGACTTGTTATGACCATTTGGTTCAGCAGTATGCTAATGTGATGAAATTAATGGGCTTAATTCCTTTTTAGTTCGGGTGACCATGAATTGCACCCCTAACCTTAGCAAACATGAGCTGTTGAAACTGTGTTTGGCTCAGAACAAGTCTACCAACATTACAAAAGATAATGCTTTACTGAGTGTGTGTCAGAACTTTCATCTTTGTATTCAAGGACAACACGTTAATTTTCACAGAGAATGATAAAAGCGATATTTTTAATGTCTCTGGAACAATCAAGAATAGATATGTGGAGCCTTGTCTGGAGCCAAGTCATACTTGGGAATCAGCGGGGCTCAGAGGAGAATGCCCAAGATGTACCCAGGGTCCTATTGGGGCTCTCTCCTGCAGAAATGAAGGCAACGGAGAGGGCACTTCCCTGGCCATCAACAGCTCAGGATAGGGAAGCACACATCCCTCTGTTTATGAGAGGCAAGTAGGTAACCCAAGCTCTGTGCAAGGTGCTTTGGAGGTGTAAGTTAGGTGCACACCTTGCTGTCTAGAACCTTACAATCCCTTGCCTTGTAGGGCTACTGCCTAACCTCAGAATCCTAGGGATAGAGGAACCTTCTCGCTTTGCAGAGTAAGTCAAATGGGGAGGTATGGGTGATGCTTACTGCTCCTGCCAACCCATCATGGAGGAGATGCTTCCTAGATGCCTCCTGTATGCATCCTGGTACCCCAGGGAAGTGACAGAAATTTCCAAAGACACAAACATAAAAATACATCCCAGACCTGGGAGTCAGGGACTGTCTCAGTCACTCTGGCATGATAAAGCAAAGGTCAGGGTCAAGTTTCTGTACTATTCAAGACTGGTTGGCTATTTCCTCCTGTTTTTTTTGTTTTTGTTTTTGTGTGTATTTTTTAAAATATATTTTATTGATTTTTAACAGAGAGAAAGGGAGAGAGATAGAGAGCCAGAAATGTCGATGAGAGAGAAACATCGACCAGCTGCCTCTTGCACACCCGCTACCAGGGATGTGCCCGCAACCAAGGTACATGCCCTTGATTGGAATCAAACCTGGGACCTTTCAGTCCGCAGACCAATGCTCTACCAATGAGCCAAACCGGCTTCGGCTATTTCCTCCTGTTTTAATGACTCTGAAATGGATAATTGATAGGTTATCACTTACCTTATGCTGACCCCCCATTGATTTTAGTTAATCAGAAGTATCTGAACTGTTATTTCTTTTTTTTTTAAATATATTTTATTGATTTTTTACAGAGAGGAAGGGAGAGAGATAGAGAGCTAGAAATGTCGATGAAAGAAACATCGACCAGCTGCCTCTTGCACACCCCCTATTGGGGATCTGCCCGCAACCAACGTACATGCCCCTAACCGGAATCGAACCTGGGACCTTTCAGTCCGCAGACCGACGCTCTGCCACTGAGCCAAACCGGTCTCTGCTGAACTGTAATTTCTTGAGCTTATTTATTTTAGTGTTGATTCTTTATGAGATAATCAGGGCTATAGGCATGGATCTTTTGAGACTTGTGAGAAATATGAGGACCAAGGCTGGCTGACTTGCCTTAGAAGCTTGGAATGTAAACAACCAGTGTTTGGTGTTCTTTCTTGCAGCTCTGTGTGTGTGTGTACACAGTGTTACCCATCACACGGGGGTAAGCGTATGAGGTACTCAGGGGCCTCTGGTCATCCCAGGCCCCACTTAGCTGCTCCCAGATGTTGAGATGTCAGCAAACCTATAGCCTATTTGAGACTGGCTATGAGTGAGAATTCCTGATAGGATGTCCCTCTGGGCTTTGCTTCAGGATAATCCAATGGTGTAGGGAGAAGGGATAGGTATGAATGAAAGGGTGAGTCACAAGCCGGTAATCAATGAAACAGTGAGGGGATAGAATAGTTCATTAAAATATTCTTTCTACTGTTGCATATTTTGAAATTTTTCACAATAAAATTTTTAAAAAAATGAAATAAAGCATAACCGAGGCCAGCAGTAAGCCCTGTCAGGAGTAGGAATTGTGGGAGGTGTGGGTTTGAGGTTGTTATATCAAGTCATCCCATCTTATCTGTGGGGTATGTTCCATGATGCCCAGTGGATTATTGATACCAAGAATAGTACTGAACCTTATGGATATTGTGCTTTTTCCTATATGTGCATACTTATGATAAAGTTTCATTTATAAAATTAGGCACAGTAAGAGATTAGCAATAACAACATAATGAAATAGACCAGTTATAATAATATACTGTAAAGAAAGTTATGTGCATTCTCTCCCTCTCTCTCTCTCTCTCTCTCTCTCTCTCTCTCTCTCTCTCTCTTTCTCTAAAAGTATCTAATAACCAATCTGGTAACTGAGAAGGCTACTAAGTTACAAACAGTGGGGAGCTATACTGCGTGAATATGCTAGACAAAGGGATGGCTTACCTACCCAGGTGGGATGGGTGGGACTTCATCATGCTATTCAGAACTGTGTACAATGTAAAACTTATGAGTTGGTTATTTCTGGAATTTTTTAATATTTTCAGACCACCATTGACCACGGGTAACTGAAGTTGTGGAAAATGAAACCATGGATAAGGAGAGACTATTATAATAAAGGATTTGCTGGTCTTTATTATAATGAAGAATTTCTCTGGGGGGGGAAAAGGATACTTGGAAAGTTTAATATACTATACTCGCTCAGATTGACCTTACTTATGGTATACAGCTATATATGATAGTGTCTTTGCCTAACCTCACAATATATATTCAATCTCTCTTGTTTTCATATAGTCAATAAAGAAACAAATAAGAACAGAAATGCTGGTGTGGATGTGGAGAAAAATGATTTCAGTTTCTAATTGCTTATGGAGGAACTCTTATATGAGAACAAACTAATAAAAACAAAATCAATCCCAACTAAAAATGCTAGTTTAATATGCCTACAATAAAGTGATCTGAAACAAGTTATATAATTCATTGAGTGAAAGAAACCCACAAAGCAGTGACTGAGCCAAATTTTTAACATGCCCTATGACATCTGACAAGGCCACAATAATAGGGGAGGTGACTTATTATTATCCAAGAATATTCAGAGGAAAGGAAAAGGCTGATGAAAGGCAAGGTTAATATAAAAATTTATCAGATTAAGAATAAGTAAATCTCCAATTTTAATTGGAAATAGAAATGGCTCAAATTATCTTTTTTTTTTCCACCTCTACCCACTCCCCTTACTTCTGGTAGTCCCCACACTGTTGTCTACTAGTATGTCCGTGAGTTTTGTTCTCTTCCTTTTTTTCTCATTCCCTCCACCCTGCTAGCGTCCTGCCCCCCATAGCTGTCAGCCTGCTTTGTGTCCATGAGTCTGTCTCTATGCTTGTTTATTAGATTCCACATAGTAAAATCATATGGTATTTGTCTTTCTCTGATGGCTTATTTCACTCAGCATAATGTTCTCCAGGTCCCTCCATGCTGCCACAAAGGGTAAAATTTTCTCTCTTTTAATGATTGAGTAATATTCCATGGTGTAACTGTTCTACTGATGAGCACTTGGGCTGCTTCCAAATCTTGGCTATTGAAAATAACACTGCAATGAACATAGGGTCCTGGTGATGGTTTTTGAAGCATTTGCTCAGTTCATTCTCAGTTATGATTCTGAATTTATGGAACGCAGCCTTTAAAGCATGCTTTAAAATAGCAAGTGTTTTCAGAGAAGTATGAGTGGGGCAGATCTTTAGGAATGACTGCCTCTCCGAGGGGTGTGAGCCTGCTGGGAAGGCTGCTGTGAGAGAGAGGTGTTATCCTTAATGATGAGCACAGCTGGACAGGGCAAGCTGACTGCACTGGCACAGGAAGTTCTGAGCCCTGAGGGTTCACTGCTCACTGTGCCTGCTGCTGGGTCCTCCTTGCCGGGCTGGGGACAGAGTGGGGACAGAGCAGACATGCTGGCCTGGGAGTTTCTGGAAGATTATCTGGTCTGGCTGGCCTGCTTCCCCATCTGTGCTTTCCCCACCCTCCCACTGTCATTGGTGCTCAGAGGCTCAGCAGCCCTGAGGACACAGGACAGGGAGAGCAGTGGGGCCATGCATGTCTTT